GAAGAAGTCTTAAAGCACAAACATAAATAGCGGCTCACCGAATTTCTGTTAGAGAGAAAATAGAAAATGACCACTTGAGGTTTATAGGAATCTTCATCTTTCTGGTTCATTTGCATTTATTTAATACATTATTGAAAGTTGGGAGACGACTATTATCGTCAGTTCCTATCTAGATAAAACGATAAGGTTTGACATTATTTAAAGCAGTAATTTTATTTTGCACTTACAACTAGTACAAACAGATCTGATCTGTCTTCTCCAAATAAATAACGGCTCTTCGCGAAAACGGTCATAAAAAAGTCTGTATTTAACTTTTTATCGCTTGAGATACACAAAAAACTGTTTAAATGCTTTATTGCAGCAATTACGGCAAAACCGGGATTTTTCATAAGGCAAATGTCTGTTTCAATGGAATTTCGATCAAAGTAATCCATTTGAGCAATACATGAGTGGTAGATAGTTAATAATCGATTTATATTGTTATTACTAAATTGCCTGCTCAAATATTGCCTTTTAATAAAACTATGAAAAGTAAAAGAGAAAGCTCTTTTCACTTTCATAAATAGAATACCATTCAGCAACGACGCAAATTTGCATTCCTTTGCATGACTTACGCTGGCCCCAAAGAATAAAGTTCTGGAAAGCGTAAATTAATATTTCAATTTCAGACTTCTAACTGATTTTTAAATTATCTAAATTAATAATTTAGTTCCCAGCATTTTACAATCAGACATTTAACTTAATTAAAATTATGAATGTTGGCAAATGAATGGGTAATTAGAAGCTTGGTGAATAAACAATCGAGAAGTAAGTTTAAAATATAACCAAATAGAATAATAGTTTGAAAGACCCCATGTAACATGAATGAAATTGAGGGGTAGGGGTTTAACTCACCTGATTTTCTTCTGATAATTAGAATCCCTCTTTGGAGAGAAGTAGAGACAAATAACCTCGAGAGATGAAATTCTACTTTAAATGAAAATGATCACCAAATGTTGTTATGACACAATCTGCACACACGTGCGTAAAATAAAATTCACAAAGTCCTATGAGCACATTCTCTTATTATCACCTCAAATCATTTTTCTGATTCGCACACACACGCACCATCAAGTAACCAATAATACGAAAAGCTCATATACACGCGATAACTTATTACAACCATTGATACATGTCCCTAGATAACAATGGAAGTGTACAAATTAATTCCAAACTCCTTCAAATAGTGAACGGAATGGTTTGCAGGCATTTGATAAATTTATTCTTATAATCCATAGACCTACAGGATGAAAATGACACAATATCGAGCACCCGCGGAATCAATGTACTGTACTCGAGTGTTTAGAAGTGAGATGGAAGTTACCTCTTGTGATCAATTCTACTGATATCATGCCACTTTTTTACACCTCTTTGAGCTATTTTCTCCGGTAAATATCAAGAAACGACGAGGTAAATATTAAATCATCTCGATCTACTCTTCATGATGATGATGCATTGACAAGATTTCCTATTGATTACTAATATAGGCTTTATATTTTTTCCCATCAGGACAAAATTTGCCTAGTGGTATTCAATATGAATGGTGGATCTTTATTTTTTTACGCGTTTGATAATCACGATAACACTATTGTAGTTAAGAATACTCAAGCAGTACTTAATTAAGTGGCGAAGTTAATAAATACCAATCTTTATTCAAGCAATGCTATATCAGGTAACATTTAACCACTTACTTAACCATTGTGGAATTTCCTCCTACCTCTCTTGATTTACCGTTTCTTTTCCACATTCAGAGCTTTGAGATTGTTTGCATCTTCATGATGGCTGCAAAGCGTAGATTAGCAACTATTTACTAGTGTCTAATTAAATTTGGAAAGCAGTGGTTCAAATAAATTAACTGATCTTAATCCCATCAAGAGCAGTCACGCAAATATGAAGTTCACAGGTTCCATCATGTTCACCAAAATGCAAGTGAATACTTTGAGTATAATCACGATTTCAAATACTACCTCAGGTTAAATTGTGTTCTTCTCATGCACTATTATTTATGACCATCCTTACAAATAAGTAAAGTATGGATCTGGAATCAATTGGCCGTCATTCGTAAAATACCACTCTTATCATATTGGTAAAAAGAGCGCATGCCATTTCTATAGGCTGGTTACAAGATGGCTTAAATGACAGTGAGTTATTTCCAATATTGACATTGATTAGCGTCTTCCTTTTATGTCTGTCTAGTGTCCTACTGGAGGCGGAGGTATATTCTTGGAAAAGCAAGATTAGAGTATAACCTGAGGGGCCAGAAATACTTGGGAGAGTTCTAGTATGTCATTTAGGAGCATTTCGATAATTAATTCAGCTTCAGGAATGATTCTGTCAAACTCAATTCTTGTCGTTTGCTGACCCAAATAGCAGAGGGATGTATATGGGCTTAACATCAAAGAAAGTGTTTTCTGTAGAGCTAACAATTGAAGGTTCAGAAAAGGCATATTGATAAATCGTCCTCCTCTTGGGGATTCTGCGTTGTTGATAAACTGTTCTCTAACTGCTGGAACTAGCCCTATGGTTTCCTTGAGTTGAAGATAGGAAAAGTGGAGAAGTACCTGGACTTGGTACAATAGGTTTTGTTCCCCTGAGGGGGGGGGGGACAAAGGGATGGTGCGCTTTGTGTTTCAGTGGATTTATGAAGTGAGAAGCATAGCGTGCTCACCATTGTATTTTCAATCAAGAAACCAGAAAATCGAGTGAAAATTTTGAAATACACTGATAATAAATGACGAAGTTTCTTCAAACATACAGCTTTGGAATCTTCCTTTGTGTCCGGCAAGCATCAATATGTGCAATAATGTTTGTACGAAACATGATAAGGACATTTAAGGCATTTGGAAATACATAGGAAATATCCTAATGATTCCTGAAAGAATGCGTCTTGATTAGCGCCTAGCATTATTTTTTCGTGCAACTTGCACAGTTGCAAAAGTAAGTTTTAACGTCGGTGAGTTGAGAAAAGACATGAGTTTACTGCCAAAAATCGAGATGCTTGCGCATCGGAGATTCATCATCATGTCGTGCTGCTAAACAGATATAAGTCAGTGACTTTTCAAATCCATTGGAGGGACTAAACTCGAAAACTCAATCAGAACAACTAGAATAATTTTTTATTGCCAACAGATGGAGGAGATGTCCAAGCTGATTTTTTGAAATTAGATTTAGAAAAGAGACTCAAGTTAACTGACATTTCAAAAAGGTTAGCCAAAAATTAACACTTTATATTTAGTCTCTGAGATATATTAAATTGCCACATGACAATGTTAAAATGTATGAGGGAAACATATACATCACCTGATTCACAATTCCATTTTATAAAGCTCCGATTTTTTTTAACAAATGTTATTTTGAGAGTAAATAAGCAACATATGTGAGCTCTCTTGAGTAGACTATGTCCACTCTACGGATCTCCCCATTAAAAAAATATTGAGACATCAACGGTCTTAAGAATGGTACACTACCTTTAATGTAAATTGATTGATTATGCTTGTCAACGAAGAGTTGTTTAACTTGCATAGAGTGTATAAATCACTTAATTATTCAAGGGAGAAATTAAAGTGGCTATATAGACAAGCAAATTTGATTGGGTCTTAAGCAACCAAAGATCTGCCTGGTTGAATTTTTCCGCAAGTATGGGGATGGTTCCCGCTCAAATGATTGTGGGTCACACTTTTCGGAATGTGCATAATTTAAGCATAGCTTTCCAGTGTGCGAATTTAAAATAGGTCGTAGATCTGATTTGTTTTGTTTACAGGGTGATATCTTGGCGGATAACCTTTCAAATGTCGAGGAATTCATAGAAAATTCCTTACCTTGTTTCATGCATATACATATTCTTTAAAATGCAATCTTAGCCATAAATATTGCTGCAAGTATAAGTTGTTTAGTGCCCTTGTAATATTAGGATGTTTTAGCATATTCTATCCATGTATATTCACTGTCGATAGCGCATTATAAATATACCAAAAACAGGACTTTTTGCTTTCAGATGCTCATCTAAGAAGAAATCAAAAAGTAAAAAGATTATAAGTGAGCTAAACCCAGCGACATCTCAAGTAGATGTACTTCCATTTACATTTACCTCATCATTCAGAACTATTGAAGATGGAATTCAAATTAAGATACATGCTATAAAAAAGTAAATGAATTTAGTTTAATTCATGTACTATTAATGTAATTTGGAAAGGAATAAACAGTATTCGCTTGAAAATCACGTAGACATAAAATTGAATGGTTGTGAAATTAACCTACGAGTTTATTGCTTAAATTATATAAATGCAAAAGATGTAAGAGTAGTCCATGGTCTGGTTTTCAAGAGCTAATCACTATGACGTGTTGTGAATAATTTACCAAAACATATATTAGCTCTTACAGCAGTGATTCTAACTGATATACTCTGTAATAGTTTCATCTTTCCTTTTCGTAATATTGAGTTTAAAAAATTAATTGCGCCACTATTGCATAAGTTTAAGTTTTATTTCGAATATATTATAAGTATTGGTCGTTTTACCAAATAACATTCTAGTTTCAAATTTGTTTTATGGTTACCAAAAATTTCATTGCGACTAAACAGTTCTGTAAATTATTTGAATGGTTATTCATTTTGGGGATTATTAAACTCATTACCAACAGATATTAGCAAGAAAGTATGGTCACAAATGTATAAAATCTAATTATCTATTAAACCGTAAGTTTTTTTTATTTTTTGAAAAAAAAATCGGTAATTTAATAAGGGTATTCGAAACATTCAAACAATCCATTTTGCCGCGTCTATTAAAGAGCTCACCGGTGTGTTTTTTGGTTCTGCTGGTGAGTTAATTTCTATTTTGCATTTTGTAATTTCATTGACTTCATGCACATGATTTTGTCAGAGTAATCAATTTTTATTTTTTTAGATTAAATTAAATCGACTTTAATAACATTATGATATTTTCTTTCATCAATCTTAGGCTGTAATGATAATCGAGTCTGTCAAACCAATTTCGATGGATGCTCCTAATGAAGAAACAATACAGGACGGAAGTAATGTCTCTTCCACTTCAAGACCTGGTGACTCTCAGCCTTTGCGTCGTAGTACCCGCCGCAGAGACGTTATGGATAGAGATACTTCAGAAAGCGAAGAAAAACCTCAAAAACCGCCCGTAAAATTCATGATCGCTGGCGTAGAATATTGTACCTATGAATATGTATACTTCGAGGTTCCCAATGAACCCTACTACACAATCGGTTATGTGGAGGATGTGATTGACCGTGACAAGGAAAAAATCCAAATTAGACGATTTCTTCACACGTTTGAAATTCCCGATTATAGCAAGGACATTCTTGACCGGAAGATTCATACAGTCCCCTCTAGATACGAGAAAATTCGCTCAGTTTTGGCTCGGGAGGTTTTTAACACAGATAACCTTGTTGTCGTTGATGGTAAACAACTGAGAGGAAAGTGTTCTGTCAAGTCCTTCTCTCAGCTTTCTGATGCCGTGGATAATTTTGATCCCACAAAGGAGGACAGCTTCTTTAATGCTTACTGTTTCAAAGAGGAGACTAATCATATAATTCCCAACTCACCTCGTGTTAAAGTAAGTAAACTTATTACCTGTTTACTACATTTTCTTAATTAATAATTACCTAACCCAACGAGAAAATGTTCTTTCGCACTTTCATTTAATATTTTGGTATCTAATAAGCGTATTCTTTAATCAAAAATATAAACGCTTTCATCACCTTATTAGTGCAATGAATATAAGTAGGTTTCCAGTTTTGGAGCGTAGGGGCAACTAAAGCCTTAAAAATTTTGCACTTTATCAAATTTGTGCACTACTCCTTTTTGTCACAAATCCTGTTTAAATCTGATAATTTCCATTTATCCTTCTATTCGTGAATTATGGTATTTAATGGCAGTGAATTTTTATAATAGTCAGAGTTAGTTTTGTTTGATTTCGAAGTATAATGCACAAGAAATTTGATCCTATTTTTAAGTCGACTTGTCCGATTACCGATAATCTTTATTGTCCATTAAATTCCAAAATTTTGTTGCAATTTTGTTTTTTTTTCTTTGGATTTCTATTTCCTTTTTTACTTTTCCCCAGTTTGATTGATTGTTTGGACTGCTTACTGAGTTTATTTAAATTCGGAAGGATTGAATTAAGCATGCCTTTTTTGCATTCCAGTGACTTTTACTTCTGACTATCATCTTTGATTACCCATGGTAATGAAAGAGAAGCCTCTTCGAGTTGTAATCATTAGATGACAACTGATCTTGAGAAGTAGAAAAATAAATCATTTGGGGATAAATCCTTGGATTTTTCGTTGTGTTTGTGTTCGTGTTATTCAGGGGCAATTGATCATTTGATTTTATTGAATGGTTGACCATGTCTTTTCGATTTATCTCTGTCTTGCAGCTAAGATTCCACTACTGTGTTATCTGCAATTGTACGAATGAACCAATCTGTTATATCTCTGGCACAGTGTTAGTCGTAGTACCTTTTCACGTGAACTTATAATCTTGGGAAAACATCTAAAAACCGTTGGAAAGATCGCTTGGTTTTGAGAGGGAGGAGTCGGAGTGGAGTTGATTAGATTTCTACTCCATTCTATTTCCAAGATCATTAGATTCAAGAGGTCAAATTAAATTTTGATCAGGATTGCTTTATCATTTACCTCATGCTTAGTATAAACTATCAAATTCATTGCACCCTATCATTATTTTGACCTTCTTACATTGCTGAATTATTCAATGTGCTTGCAAATGGGAAGTCAACTTGTTCTACTAACACTATATTAGTTGTGTTATAAACAATCAATAATGCTAGAAATATTTCATTTCCCGAATGTATTGATGTTTGGCGTGTCGTTTTGCGTGTATTTAGACTTGTCTTCTCTCGTTACCTCAGTCAATTTTACAATTGCACAACCTACCCTCTCATGCATGTGCATGTGCTATCCTTATTATTAAAGAAAAACATTTAGAATATAGAATTTATGGCAGGCAGGCAGTCGAGCATACTGGCAAGTAAGTGAATATAGTCTGACAGCTTTATGCGTGCGCAGGTAAGTGTGAGTCAATATCACTCGCTGTTTTTTTCCACCCCCCCCCCCCCCCCCCCCCCCCCCTACCAGTCTAACCAACACACTTTAACTGCGCCAGATAGCGACTGTCAGAGTCAAGCTTATGATTGATGGACTTTGTGTCATTGAATTAAGTGTACCTTCGCCCTACCCCCCTCCTTCCATAGCTTTGCCTTTTGAAAGAAGGCAAGAGGTTTGTGCACTCTGCCTATCGCCTGCTGGCTGGTTGCTTGTATTTTCGTTTCGTTGTTGTCATTTTTTGCCCTACTCGCCTTTAAAATGGATACCAACTGTCATTAAAAGGTTTTAAGATGAGGTGAAAGGGGGTGAAAGTCAAATATTTTCTATTTGGTTGCAAGGATTTTTTGGGGGGATTTCCCTCTCTACGTTTAAGCAAGTTAAATAATTCTTTCTGAGGTGTAGAATATGGAAATGCTAACCAATATCCGCATATTTCCTTTGGAATAATTCGTGATAAATCTACATTGTCGCGGTAATGTCTTTTCCTCCTATTACTCTATCTCTGTTTTTGATGGGGAGATGTATTGTCCAGCGGATTTTAGGCGGCTTTCTAATAAATTGAAACTAAGTTCATAGACAAATCGTTATTTAATCTTGGTAAATATCGTCAACCAAATATCGTGTTACATTTTGATTGCAATTTGTCCTTTCCATTCGCCGAAGTGACCCCAATAGATGTCCTCATGCTTCCCTTGCTTATTCATCGCTAATCCATTTAGTATTCCATAAATAAACTGAAAGGTTTTTGTTCACATGCCTTCGCTTCTGGTTTCTTGGTTTTGTTTATATTAATAAACCTACCACGGTAATCTATACTTCATATTTACTGAAACATTTTCTATCAATGACGAATGATTTTAATCTATGCAATTCGGAAATGACTCCTTAATTTAAGCAAAAAATCATTAAAAACGGACGAAAAGGAATGGTCATTTAACTTTAACTTATATCTAAGCGTTCATTTGTGGTTTCCTAAACCGTGCGGACCTCCGAGACAGCAGACCTTGAGTTATGCAGGCCAATAACTGAGCGTGTATCACTGTAATGCGATCCTTGTATTTACTGAAAGAGTTTCTGTCCAACTTCATAATGACTGCACTTCTTGGCAGATTGAAAGCTTGGCGATTTTGAAACGAAATCGTTTTTACTTTCAATCTCCATGCTGGTATGCAACTGTGTCTCCCGGAGGTCAGGAAAAAAGGGTTAACCTGTTTGCGTAATAGTTATTTGGCTTTCTCTCAATCGTCATAAAATATTAAGGAGGAATGCATCTTGTCTAGATCATATATACTCTGTAATTACAGCTTTTTAGATGGACAAAAAAGACGGATCAATCAAGCTCGACTTTTCTTGCCTCAGAGTATACCATATGACCACATACTGAGCGCTTTTATATTTTAGTTGGGCCCCGTTTTCCTGTCGAATCTGAGGGTTTTAAATGCGCTCTCTTTGAAATGGATTGGCTGTGCTTCTATCTCTTGTCGAGATATTTCTCGTGATTGCATATCAAAAATCGATTATTCACTTCTACTTTTTTGTTTGTCCATTTAGAAAGCAAATTCCACTAGTCATAGGAACAAGAGAGCTGTGATAAATGAGCCTCATCAGTTAGAAAATCAAATTATGCCATTCAAATTATGTTTCTGACCTGGTAACACTATCTCTTCTTGAAGTTTAAATTAAGAATTGGCCTTAGATATTCGCTAGTTATTATGGAATTTTATTTCATTGACCTTTTTGACCTCGTTCAGTATTTTAGACATAAATCAGTTACTTGCCTGGGAGTGATTGTGAGGTCTTTGTGCATTCTTACCTGTACTTTATATCAACTCCACCTGCTTATACTGTTTCAGCTGTAAATGTTGTTCCTTACTCAACTCAATACGAATATTCCCTCATTTTCAAGTAATCAATTTCCTCAAATTTGAAGCGCGAGCTTTAATTAGTCCAGAATACCAATAGTAGATTACTTCTTAATCACCCTTGTCTTTAAAAGTTGGAACAGCGAAGTAGTACCTCGTCCATTTGAATGGATGTTCATGTCTTAGGTGAGATGATACACATTGCTTTAAATGCAATATTTTATGAATGAAGGTTACAATTTTAATTGGGGATTTCACTTTTAAATGAGGGTTTTTTTTTCATCGCTTCACTTGCTGTTATCATCTCTTTTGTCTGCAGAAACTAAGTTCTTTGGCCTATTGAGAGATTTAGGCCACTGCTTGGGGGGGGGGGGGGGCTACCAAGGCAAGAAGGTGAAAACTGTCCTAGGTGGTTTTCTTGGGAGAAGGCTTGTGTGTGTGTGTATGCGTTCATTTCTTTTCCATTCATCCAGTTCATATTGGCAAGATTGGAGGATAAAGTGTGCAGCGGAGTTGTCTAAGTTGCCGATTCCGTATTGAGAGCTGCGGATCTTTAGACGCGTAAGAGCGCTAGTGTGGTATTTTCCCTTAATATCAAGAGAGAGAGAGAGCAGCTTGATGTTTGTCTATGTGCTCTTCACTATGACCGAGTTCACCCAATATGATCATGTTATGAGGTCGTGAACTTGTGTTAGTGTAATATTTGTGTATTCTAATGGGTGTGGTTGCCGGGTTACTGAACCTTTGTCCTTATATTGTAGATTCCCCCTTAACACCAACTCATGTAACTGAGCTTCTAATTTATTCTTAACTCGTGTTTTATAATCCTCTCATTTGTGTGAACGTTTGGCCACATTTCTTTTACTGCTTGAGCCAGCTTTGAAAAGTTAACAACAATCGAACTGTGTAGGGGAGCAGTGTCCTGGTGCCATCCTTAATTGAAAATCCCATTCTCTCAAACTACTTTTTGACCAGAATTGACCAGCGTGACTTTATCACCATTCAGATATTATCATCGATTCTCTGCTCATTTTCATGGCTACACATCACAGCGATAGTCGCCAGTCTTTAAAAGTGGCAGGTCGTTTTCAACTTCCCAAGAATTGAAAATTACCGCTGGGTATGATTTCGGAGTGCCAGTTGAGGTTTATTAAAGCTTCAGTAACTCCACTCAGAGGAATGACCTGTGGCTCATGTCCGGTTAGCCAATAATTCCAGTGGTGGTGGGATCTTACTCCTTGTCATGAACATAGATTGAAATCTAATGTCACTACCCTACTTAAAACGATATTAGTTTATTTTCTTTAAAAGTGCAAAGTAGTTGGTTTAGTGAAGGAAAGATCTAACCATAGACTGTAAGTCCAGATGTAGGAGTACTCCCTTCTGGTAACTGGGACTTTGATAGTATTTTGCCAATATATCATCTTCATTGCCCTTAGCTTTAGCCTTCGTTTTGTAATTGTGCGTCAAGGTTACCCAGAGGATCCTTTTCTAAAAGTACCTTAATCTCAAATCTTATTTTCTTCTGTCTATTGCCTGAAGTCATAGCCTTTCCATTCCGATTGCTTTGTAGGTTGGTGATGAGTACCAGGTTATCGAGTTACCAGCATACCGGGGCCCTCACCCAAGAAAACAAGTCTGCCCAATACACGGGGTCACAAGCCATCACCACCTACGAGAAAAACAGAACACAATTTCGACCAATGGAAACAGTGGTGACACTGCTGCGTCTCTCCCCGTTGGGTCTAAGCGGCCATATTCTACTGAGAAGGGGCAGGAGAAACCAAGTCGTGTTTGGGAGGAAATTGTGTGGGATCATGAAGCCTATGAGGATAACTTTGAAGATGATCATAGTGGTAGTGACATGTTGAATAGCAGTTTCGATATGTTTATTGCCATGGCACGCTCTATAATTGCAATGAATTGTGTGGGGGGTGGTTTAACCGATCAGGAGTCGGCGGAAAATGCTAAAGCTTTCGTGGAATCTGTGGCCACCACACAGCATATTTACGACACTCTGCATAGATGTGGTTATGATTGTCAACAGACTCTGGAGGAATTGCGAACAAATTCTGTCTCCGCGTCTGTAAGTTCTGATACATATCGACTGACTCTGCGGTCTTTTTGGCTTATTTTCTATTCACTATTGCGGCCATAGCCCCACGAATGGTTCAATTAGCATCGTATTCTTAGATATTTGACTTGATTTATCTGTGCAAGTCTTCCCATTTCTGTTAATGAAAATGTTAAGAACAAAATTTAATTCTCATCCTGTCAAAAGAACCATTTTTTGCTTTTTCATAAAAAAAATCTTAAAGACGTGACGAGACAGTAAAAATAAGAATGTAATGGTTTGTAAGTACAACAAAACTGGGAAACTGGACCATGAAATATAAAATCAATAAATAGGAAAAGTGACCTTGTCAAAGTTGAGTATATATTCCGGTTTCTAGTTTCCTATTGGTCCAATGCACGTCAGAGCTGGGGTGAGACATGGCAATCCTCCCTACTGTGCTGTGAGGTTGTTAATAATATGCTTGATGACTAGCGTTGCAACACTATTCCGACAAACAAGACCATCTTAGACCTTGAAGACTCATTCATTAAATTTTCAGTGGACTTTCGAATCGACAAGATTTTCCTACGCACAGTGTCTTGCATTTAGAACTTTTTTTCAAATGGTAGGCGTTTTGATAGTTATCATTAGCCCTTTAGCTGACTTCGCCGGCGTTTTGATAGTTATCATTAGCCCTTTAGCTGACTTCGAGCTTCACAGAAGGGAGGAACATTAAAGTGAGAAAAAATCGCTACACAGTGAGGAGGAACGTCAAAGTGACAAAAAGTGGGGAGGGGGAACAGAAGAGTGATTCACAGATGTAAAAGGGACAGACAGACACAAGAGCAGAGAAAAGGTAAGATAAGTACTTTGGAAGGGGTTGAATATGACAAACAGTCAGGTCATAGTAGTTTGAAGTCAGAAGTCAACTGCCGATCAATAGACTTTTTGGCCGTATGAGAATACGTTGCCCAGGGCGCACCACGTGGAGGTAAGTCTATCGCACGCGCCGCATTTAGAACATAAACTGTCTCCTTTATAATTTCCCTTCTGTTTATCCCGTTTTATAACCTCTTCTCTTCATCTGCTAAGTAGACCCATTCACTTCTAACCTTTTGATATTGAACTCACTGGATCTAGTTACCTAGCGACTCTAGTCAGGATTTTAGCAAACCCATGATTTAGGATTTGCAGCTTTGTGTTGTGGGATGCTGATCAGGTGCCGTGACAACCTTTTAATTGAGGGGTTTTTGCAAGCCTTCCCAAGTCCATTAGGCAAGGCATTAATGTGAACAGTATTTAGATAGTCTAATACAAGGAATATGGCTAGCTTGTATGATCGACAAATCATGTCACCTATTTACAGGACGAGAAATGATTTCGATTTCTAGAATTTTGCGCTTTAATTTACCGCTTCAGTGTAATTTTTAGCAAATAAACCTGGCTATAGAGGTAGCGTGCAAAAGTAGACTTTGTTATGAGTGGACGAATGGGGAGTATTAGAATGATCGGGATTGAGAGAATTGGAAATGGGGTTGTGACAGAGAGGTTTGTCAAGAGTGTCCTAATGTTTTATGTTCTTGGGCCAAATTGTAAGACGTTTCTCTAGAATGCCGCAAATTCTATCCTTTGGAACACATAGGATGTTTAGCTTTAAGAAAAGCTAATGTATGTGCATTTGTTTTTATTCTATGCGCTCCAGAATACGCCAATGCATTGGACAGTGGATCAAGTGAAACAATTTGCCACTGCACTGAGGCAAGTTGGTCGGAACTTTTTCCTCATCCAAAAGAGGTACTTTTCTCCCACCACTTCAATAGATCCATTCGAGGGTCCCACTTCGAGGTATCCGCCTCGCTATCCTCGTGGTCGTAAGAGAAGGCGGCAGGCGGTGGATGATTCTTCGAGTTGCAATAATCAACAACAGGAGGAACAAGAAGGGAATGGTGACGCACTAGATACCCCCAATAATGAAGGTATTAATTGAATCTATTTTATTTTGGGGCGATTATGCAACTCCACGTCCTTAATAGAGGGGTAGCTGTTGAGTACTTGAATTCTGCCTCTAGCTCTTCTACAGGCTGTACCTCCTGTCTTGTTCTAATCTTCACCACGACAACAGCATGGAAGAAGCTAGGAGTGGTCGAACAGATTTAGTCCTGTGTTGGTGAATAAAATAAAAAAAGGATTTATGAGAGTGTTGATGAGTGAAAAACGTGATATGTATTTTTTTTTCACTGCCCTTAACTGCCACTACCTGGATGTCTAAAACCTAGTTTTCCTATATGGTATTGGGTGGGCAACTAAGTCATTGCCGTTTTTGTTGACAGATTCACTCTATACTTTCTTTTGTTTTGTTAACGTGGCCAGAGCATCTAACCCATATTTTTTTCTTATTGTATGGGCTTCTAGGTTAATTAGTAAAAAATTCTTTGTTTAGTTCTTTAGTTTTGTTTTTATCCCAATTTAAAAATGAAAGAACAGGACGTGCGCTTCCGACACATTTTATTGTATTACTTCCGAAAAGGCAAGAACGCATCGCAAGCACAAAAGAAGTTATGTGCCGTATATGGAGATGAAGCCTTAAAAGAAAGGCAGTGTCGAAATTGGTTTGAAAGATTTCGTTGCGGTGATTTTTCACTGAAAAATTCACAACGATCTGGCCCCCCAGTCGAAGTGGATGAAACCCATATCAAGGCCATTATCGATTCAAATCGTAACAGCACAGCACAACACGAGATATTGCAGAGAAGCTGCTCAATGTGTCGCATACATGCATTGAAAAAAAAATTAAAAACCCTTGGTTATGTCAAGAAACTTGATTTATGGATCCCTCACCAGTTAAAGGAAATTCATTTGACGCAACGGATTAGCATCTGTGATACGCCGCTACTGAAACGCAATGAGAATGATCCATTTCTGAAGAACCTAGTTACTGGCGACGAAAAGTGGATAGTCTGTCAACAATGTTACTCGCAAGAGATCATGGGTGAAGCAAGATCAACCAGCCCAAACAGTATCAAAAGCAGAGATTCATCAAAAAAAGATTATGCTGTCAGTCTGGTGGGATCACAAAGGAATTTTGTATTTTGAACTCATGCCGCAGAACCAAACGATAAATTCAAATGGGTATGTTGAAGAACTGGAAAAACTGAAGGATGCAATTGAAGATAAGCGGCCGGCATTATCAAATCGGCGGAAGGGTGTTGTTCTCCATCATGATAACGCAAGGCCCCACACATCTTTGGTTACTCGGCAAAAATTATTGGAACCGGGGCTGGGATGTTTTGTCACACCCACCATATAGCCCTGACCTTGCGCCTTCGGATTACCATTTGTTTCGTTGCATGCAAAACTCTTTAAATGGTAAAATTTGTAACAACGTGGATGATGTCGGATCACACCTAATTCAGTTTTTTAATAGCAAAAACCAGACATTTTACGAACAAGGAATTTTTACTCTGCCGGAACGATGGAAAAAGGTCATCGACAAGAACGCCCAATATCTAATTGAATAAAGTTATATTTTTAAACAAAAATTCCGAATTTGCCTTCGGCAATGGCTTAGTTGCCAACCTAATACTTAAATCTATCCCAGTAATAAATAATTTTTTTTCTTCTATCCTCGACCTAAAGAAGGTGAGGAGAATGTTTTAGAACCTATTGATGAAGAGGCAGTGGACTCACCTCAACCAGAAGATCCCGACGGCAATTATCTCTTTATGCCAACAAAGGAAAAGAGTGTAAAGGAGTTGATTGAATTCTTTCACTTTTGGAAGAAAAAGAAAGCTCAACCGAATATGTGCTTTACGGGCATAAGATCGCCCGCTCTTACAAATGATGCTGACGATAAGAAGGCGGAGGCTGCCAAGTCCAAAAAGAACAAAAAAGGTGGGTGTTTGAAGTTGATTTTATTTCCAAGCGCAGTAGATTCGCTTAACTAGTTGTCTGGACTAGGTCTTATCACTTGAGGGCTTGCAATAGAGAAGTGGAATTAATTGGATAAAGCTAGCAGATCAGGCAAAGGAAAGGATACATGAAATCAATTTGTCTTCCACTTAAGTGATCATGAGTATTGGTTTCACCATTTTTTAAAATAAGTTCTGTTTAATCGAATGGTTGACCTACGGGGAGATGTAGTCCAACTCAAATTTTATCGTTTTGATATTAGTGCACTTGGACGATGTACTATCTACAATTTACTATTTACGCACTTGCGTTATACAATTTCAAGCTTATCTCACAAGTCGTCTTTCCCCTTTGTGAGTCACTTATTAGAGACTCTTTTTTGATTTCCTATTTGGATTTTGACTTTACTCGATCGATGCCAGCGCATATTGATTTGTAGAAGTTAATAATTACGGCAAATCGTTATTATCAATAGCTTGATGCTTAAATATTTTATTGAAATGGACTGTTACTAGTGTGCTACTTGTGCATATAAATTGAGTCAGTAACTCAAGAGTTCTCATCACGAAACATGATGAATTACTAACAGTACTCAGGCTTAAGGGTTTTGCTCTAAGGGGGGGGGGGTGCAGGTGGTAATATGCTCGTCTGTGGTGTCAGAAGTCACGGGTTCAATGCCTGCCAGCGCACACCTAGTAAACGAATGATTAACGACACTGATTAAGTCCTAGATGGGCCCCTTGTCATTCAGTAAAATCTAGTTCAGATGATTTACTCTTTATATTTGGATAAACATGTTCGCTAAGTACAGAAGGTTAGTTGGGGGGTCAGACTAGGGCACAGGAATAGTAATTAGAAGGTGGTATTGAAGGAATCAATAGGGTCTGAGATTGTCGATGCGTAAATAGTATACTTACGGTCCACTGTCTTTTTTCTTTCCAGCTGAACCCGATCCTCTTGCAGCTGATGGTGATAACGGACCGAGCTCTACTCAAGGTAAGGACCTCCTTTTTTCATATTCATCATAATATGAGGTGGATATTAGCCTCTTGGATCGTTTTATTTCATTTAATGAAGGCGGATTCAGCTTTAAGTCCATATTAGAGTCTCCATATATATAGAAAGAGAAGATTTATATGACTCTCAAAGTACGCTCATTTGCGGTTACGTCATCTTTGTCCTTAAAAGTTTTGTGAGCGCGTGGGGGGGGGGAGGTAGGGGGTGATGTTTATTTATATCAAATGGCGGGCGTTTTGATAGATATCATTAGCCATTTAGTTGACTTCAGGCTTCACAGAGGGGAAGGAATATCAAAGGGAAAAAATCGAGGGGGGGGGGAAACAGAAGAGTGATCCCAAGATGTAAAAGAGACAGACACATAGGTAGAAAAAAAGGTGAGATGAATACTGTGGTAGGGGTCGAATACGGCATACAATGGGGTGATGGTAGTTTGAAGTGAGAAGTCAACTGCCAGTTAATAGACTTGTTTGCCGTATGAGTATACGTTACCCAGGGTACACCACGTGGAGGTGAGTCTATCACGCACACCCCCCCCCCCTCTTCTTTTTAATGTAGTAAAGCCAGAAACATTCCATTTCTGCATTCGGGTTGTAGAAAAAAGCGCAGGAGTTCCCACAATATCAAGGAGGGAGGTAAAGTTATAAAATTTCACCAACTCCTTGACCCACATTTTATTTGCAGTATTTGAGCATTCCAATGCATTATGTCAACACATTTTAATGCAAAGCAATTTTTTCTGGAAATTGTGCATTCAGAGTTCACTAGATCACAAGGCCGTAGCAAATGTACTGTTTGAACACAGGAGGTACATGGATATTTTAATTTAACAATTACTGAAAATGCCAATTAAATCACATGCCTCCGTTGCTATTGGCTTTGATGGTAAATATGTAACAATTTTCTACTGCATTTGCTTACTTCTTTCCCCTATGCCCCATTTCACAATCCAACTCAAATTTGTCTGGTAACAGAAGAAGCATACAATCGAACATGCCTAGTTTAAAGTCTAAGTTACTCTCATCTGTGGGATGAACATACCGTTTCTTTTTTTTCTACAAGGTATCTGTATTTAATTAATGATGTTAGTTATATTTGTTAGTATTTGTCATGGGTCTTAGGATCCTGAAAAGTGCCTTTATCGACTCCTCGATTGTGTAAGGTCCCAACTCTAAGCACCTTGTTTGAATAGATGTATTTAATTAGTTATTTAAATTCAAAGCGCATAAAGAGAGCACTTTCCAACGCTCTTCCTGGATAGAATGGCACCATGGAGCCGCCCTGGTGAGGTAATCGAATTCTGACACTTCCGCATGAATTGTTTTTGTCCAGTGCGGTTGACCATTCAATGAACGCGCACCGTTGGGAATCGATACCTCTACATTTGGTATTTCCGCAACAAGTCAAAAAATTACGTAAATCTCTCTTTCTCCCTCTCTAGAAGCCTCTGAGCATGGGAGCTAGGCGTAGTTCAATAAGAGGCTGGGTGGTAATTCACTGTTCAATGTTTTATTCGGAATGCAAAGTGCCGGGGCTCTTGGAGCAAATCGTGTTTACGATGTTCATGGTCGATCATATTAATTCTATACACTTGATTTTTCTAATCAGCTGTCAATGGTAGATTTACCGTATAATAGATTCTAACGACTCAAAATTGCAGCAATGCAGAAGTCCATAACGAAGCTTAGGGAGGTGGGCCAGTCTAAATAGTTGTTTGTTAAGAACTGAGGTGTGTCACATCACAGCTTATTCCAGTGAACCACTATTTTGGGCTTCATGTCATGGTGATTTAATTGCAAATGACTATAATGTTTTCATGATCCATTTTCCTTCCTTAAAGGCACGAAATATACCGGCCCTTGCAAGTTCTGTTCTGATGGCATAGTTGATAACCAGACACTGGAAACAACCCTCAGTGTCGTACACGTTACAGTGAGTTGGAGTCACCTTTTTTTCTTTTCGTTTTCATTTTTAATATGATCAATTTATTTGCCTCCATCTACTTAAACAGGATTTTCAGCAAGCCTGTTCCAAGTGTCGACTGCATTACTTCAAGTACTGTTTCATGCCAGGTAGAGATGAGGATGCTCTATCTTCACCCACGGAAGCCAGCAAACGGCCTCAATCCCCCTCCTCTAAATCTGAAGGTGCGTGTTTGTCTCTGTTTATTTACCAACTTATTCGACGTGGCAAAGAGAAAATGGTTTATGGAAATATCTGTACACGAAGCAGGGAGAGGATTGTTCAGATTTAGAGTGAATGTGGTTAATGAGCTAGAGTCAGTGAATCAGGAGAATCCTACTTCACTATTTATTTGTATTATCTCTTTTCTAGCTCACATATTAGTGCAGTTCCCAAGTTACTGAAGTGAGTGGCAGTTGTAAATCTCGGAGATGTTCAAACCCCGTACTTTAGCATTTTCAGAATCTGGAAGTCATTAAATCACGGTTATCTTCATATGAGAAAAAAAATACGGAATTTTTTTGACTACATTTAACTTTCTAGCCTTCCTGATTTTGTACAAATTGTGTAGCATGTATCCACATGACCGAGGAGTCTACTAATTGACCTTGATTGTGTCCCCCGTTCTCATTTTCATTTGCAGAGCTGGATGGCACGACGGTCCAATTATGATTGATGGTAGATAACGGGAGGCGCTAATTTAAATATTTGGTTTATCGCCCTAAATGCGTCTTTTTCTCGCCCAATACCTCCGTGATAACTTTCTCGCATTTTCGGTTTTCTCTCCTTGTTTATTAATACCACCCACATCGAGTTCATTTATGAAAGCATCTGAACTAATTTATGTTTATTTCAAATGGCGGGCGTTTTGATAGTTATCATTAGCCCTTTAGTTGACTTCTAGCTTCACAGAGCTGAAGGAACATCAAAGTGAACAATAGTCGAGAGGAGGGGACAGAATAATGATGCACAGATGTAAAAGAGACAGACAGACACAAAGGCAGAGAAAAGGTAAGATGATTGATTTGGAAGTGTGTCGAATATGACATACAGTGGGGTGATGGTAGTTTGAAGTCAGAAGTCAACTGCCGATCAATAGACTTTTTTGCCGCATGAGTATACGTTGCCCAGGGTGCACCACGTGGAGGTAAGTCTAATATAGGTTTGGAAAAAACGACTTCATTTCTTTTAGAAGTGAAAGTCAGTGGAGTAATCCTCTTACGCTATTTGATCCTTGAAATTAGGTCGTACTTTTTTCACTTCATTGCTTCAAGTTCTTTCGCTTCAGTGCCCGAATTTCATGAGTTGTTCCTCCTTTCCTGCTAGCGGCGTTTTTAGTCAATCACTTTTGGTACTTCTTTTCTTCTAATTGCCATGCTGCTTATCACATGTTCTTAACTTTGTTGTGGAGGTTATTGAAGTCCTCCTTGGATAAATTTCATTAGTGGCCCTTTTGTTTGTTTTGTTTCCTCTTACCATGCTTACTTCCTCCTCCTACTTCTCTTTTTAATTAGCTAATAAACAGCCGGAGTGCTTTTGTGCCATTTCCCCAACCTACGCATCCTGTCAAGATTCCCCCGAGCCCTCTCTTAATGGTCATGAATTGGACGGACAAGAAGGAGGAGAAGAAAAAGGAGACGAGGTAATGTATACCTTTTTCTTCTTTTCGGACATTTATGCTCCTTCTTCTTATTATGTATTACCATATTAGATTTTGTTGGGCACACCAGGATTTAGAGTTTATGGCCGTACACGTAGAGCCCTTCTCAGGCGTTTAGCTATTAACATTCACTCAAATTACGTTAGATTTATTTGAGGGAGGTGTTGCCATAGCGAGATTTCTGGGTCGGTCAAGGCTTTACTAGTGTAGCACTTCTCATTCCTAGAGAAGAACACATTAATTAGTTTCATTCCTTTTTAATAGGTAAAGGCTGAAGCGAAGGAGAGTGCAGAGAAAATGAAAGAGGATATCAAGCCATCACTTAAACAAACTACTATGCCACTTCCTTCTTCCGGATTGGACACGAAGGCGGAAATAAAAGTTGACGTTTCTTGTGCAGAACAGGCTCGAGAGCTTGAAGCTGCAATACCACATCAAGCTGTCTCACAATCCGCCACAGGAGGTTGTGGAAATATACCTCAAAAGTCCCCAGATGGCTGTCCTAGAACTGACGTCCCAACCAGAGTTCCTCCTGACCTGTCTACTTCTGCGCCTAAATTCCTTCCGGTTCGTTTCAAATTTTTCCATGGATTTATTCTTGCTTATATGTGTATAAGTAACCTGTATTTTTCATTTATTTGTTTAGGAGTATGAACAGATTTTTAAGTCCTGTGGTTTGGAAAAGCTCCAAGCATTAATGCAATCAGGTCACTTGCCTCCCAGCACAGCCGAATTAATCAGACACTATCTGTTGATGGAATCTGAACGTCAGCAACCTATGAACTTGATTACACCTGGTATTAGTAGCAGCGGAAGTAGGCCTTGTACGGTGTCAAATATCTCATCATCCGCTTCACAACCAACTATGACAACCCATGCCAGAGGCACTTTTTACCCCCCTACTGGTGTTCCGCCATCTTGTTCGAGTTCAACGCAGCAGTATCATCATCATCATCGAAGTTACCATCAATCAGGATCAATATCAGCTAATCAGCGCCAACAATCTTCTGCTTCTGCAAGAGCTCCTCCTTCCTCTACTCATTCACCATCTAGACCCCATTATCTCCCTCCCCAACAACAGCCAACAGCACCACCACCACCTCCAAATAGAAACGTTCTCCCCGAACACACTGCTCAATTTTTGCGGGATCAGCAGTTTGCTGCTCAAAGGGCCGCTCAAACGACTCCCACTGTAGGTGCTTTGCAGCAACAGCAGCTGGCTCAACAATATGCTGCTTTATTTAATTCTGATTTACTATCCATGGTTTCTGGTCATTTTAAGAATCCCAATATGCAATATTACCTACAACAGCTACTGCAAAGAGAATCTCAACCACGGGCTGAAGTTCAACCAGATATGTATCAGGCTGCAATGATGGAATTTTACGGTAGACTGATTCTTTCAGAGCAGATGAGACGGGCGTCTAGTGCTGGTGGTGGTGGCGTTGACGTCAATGCCAGAGTTCCTCAACCTCCACCTATACCTCAACATCAATCACAACAGCCAGCTCCTACAATGTCGCCCTTTCAACATCCCTCGATAAACCCTAATTCCTCCACAACTAGAGAGAATGCATTCTTTAACCAACAGCAACAAGTTCAAAATCTTCGTGTTTCCGCGAATCCTGCTCCTCCACCCCCTATTGAATCTTGCCAAAGAGGAGCGTCGGTGTTTTATCCTCAATTACCGCCACAGCATTTCCAGCAGCAGCAACAACAACAGCTGCTGTTGCAAAGAGGTGCACAACCGCAGCAGCAATCTCAGCAGCCGAGCCAACAACAACAACAACAGCCATCCCCAGCACAATTAGCTGCTTTTCAACAAAATCCAGGTCTCTATGAGTTTGTAAGTCTTGTAATTTACGTTCCCTACTTAGAGCGTTGATTGGGCATCACATAAGGAGTACGATCAATCATTTTTTATGAAACTGAGGGCATGTGATCTAAATCAGTCTTTATTAAGCTGACGGCAATGGGATAGAAGGGCGATAGAGAGGGGAGGTGAAAGCGTCCGTATTGTCACTCTTCAGTCTCAATCAGGGAAATGCAAATAAAGTTATCTTAGTATACTAGTTTCGCCTTTGCCCAGTTTACACGCCTACTTCTGGTTCTTCACTAGTAGCGTGCTTGGTGACTTTCAAGGTAAACGGAGTCTCTTGTACTCTTTGCAACTTCTATGAGTCAGCTGAGAGAAGTAGACGTTGGAAATGCTAATGACCTGACGGGCAGTGTTTCCGTTTGTTAAGCCAGAGGCCACAAATTGGATGCTTCAATGAAGGGCAGTTATTTTTTATTGAGGCGGATCCAGAATACTAGGCCTATGTTGACATTTATATAATCATTTCCATTGTTATTTAGCGTTTATTGACTATTCGTTTAATTTACGATGGCTAGTCTTACCTCTACACTTAATTTTTCTTCCAATACTGGAATAACCTACTAGTCTGAAATGATGTTTAGCACGTTGCACTATCTAAACAAAGATCACTAGAATTATTTCTTATTTTTTCAAGATTCAAAGATATGTTGCAACAGCAGCTACAGGGGTAGCGCCCTTTGCAGCATCTGCACCCACTCCTGATACTCTTCCGCCTAGACATCCTGGAATGGCTCATCAACATAGCGGCAGCAGTAGTGGCCAGCAACAGCAACAGCATCCACAGCCAACCGCACCCTTCAACCTCATGCATTATTTTCAAATGGCATCGCCCGAACAACAGCAGATGCTTTTACAAGCTCTTGTTAGGCAACAACAACAGCAATTTGGTGGCAGCAGTGGAAATCAATAGCAGTAGATCTATCGAGTGCGGAGGAAGTATTTTCGTCCCTTTTTATCAGTTTCCCTCTTTCCCCCACTGACTGTCGTGTCTTACCATACTTCTTGTTTGTAGCTTATTTGACCGCATTCTGTTACTACTAGTGACTATTCTAGTACTGTTGTATGAGAGACAACCCAGAATAAGACATTTTGTATGCTTTTCATATTTTGTTGAAGTTGCCTCCTCGTGGAGACTCGACGCTTGGTCTAGTCGGGGAGGCCTTTACTGAGGGTTATGACTTGCAAGGGGGGGGGGGGGGGGGGTTGGAATCATGGAGTTATACTAAGACGCAACTCCGATATTATACGGGAAATATTGTTATTAAACTGAATGTTAAAGCTCTAGGTATCCGACCATCTGAGGTTTAGAAATATCCACAAAGGAGCTGATGGGAAATACGTAATTTCTCCGATCATGAGAACTACAGTTCAGTGGTGAGCAAGTCAAAGATCTCGTGAAAGGAGGTATTTTTAAAGTGCAGAGGGGTTGTGAGTCCCTTTGTCAAACGAATCATTTTGCCATATCTGATATTGGAATTTTACGAATTTCACTGATCAAACCAAATTTGAATGCTATGAACAATGACAACATTATATTTATCCAGGTAATGTGACCCGGCTAGCGATTTAGCTGGCCATTTTAAGATCGTCTTCTCACTCCTAAATAAATTAATGATCTAATGGCAATTGCTAGCCTTTTCGAACCAAAATGTCAATTGATGACAAGAGATCAAAATCGGGTAATAGTACAGTCTAAAGTATGAGATGAAAATGGTTACAATTCATCCGCAAAGGTTATTCATATACTTCTGACATTTTGCAAACAATGTAGACACCACTGTCTTATATGTTGTCTACAAACCTAACTGGCACACGTTCGAACTCTACAGATGCCTGCATGGCATAGTTCGTAACAGTTAGTGTAAATGCTAACCCTCCATTATCTCACCTACGACGTCTGAGGGTTGTCACAATCGGTAAATTTACCGTATTTAACAATGACAATGAGAAAGAAAGTAAAAGTCATGATTAAAGAAAGCTCAAGATGACTAATATGAGCAACAGCGCAATTCTTATGCCATTTTGGAAAAATACTAGAGAAAATGAATAAGTACTGTGCTGAAGGTTTAGCTTGCAAAAATGAAAATTAATTGAATAAAATATATATTAGTAAATTATTCCATTGATATGGTTAGCTAAATTAGTTATATTTCGGTATATACGATGAACAAGAAAAACAAATGATCTGCCTTGATGTAATATGGACAGGATAATCCATCTATAGTCAATGAAGTCACTCAAAGCTTATAGAGAAACCTTTCTAAACTGAATGATGGTCATGATAAAGGGCTATATCTGCAAGTATTAATCAGTATCCATACCGATTACTGACTGCTGCTGTGGGTTTTTACAAATAACTTATCGGTTTATGCCGTTATGTATTGCTTGGAAACTGTTACCCAAACGACTTACAATTAATTGGTATTAAAAGTCAGATAACAAAAGTTGGTAGAATTGGGGATATTTATCATCGGAGATAGACAAATCAAAAGTCAGCAGAAACTAAGTTTAAATTTCACAAAACCAGAGGGGTTTGATATCTGGTATGCTTACAAGGTCATAATAATAATAATAATAATAATAATAATAGTTCCTTTATGATTAAGAATAGAAAGAACCATTTGTTTCATGTTAATAACCATTCGATTTGTTAACTGCAGGCGAATTAAAACTAGAATCAATATGAAATATTTGAAAACCATTCAATAGCAATATTATTTGACTTACTTTAAAGAATACTGGGTGTGCGATGGACTTACCTCCACGTGGTGCACCCTGGTCAGCGTATATTCATACGGCAAAAAGTTAATTAACCGGTAGTTGACTTCTCAATTCCAACTACCATCACTTCACTCTATGCCATATTCGACTACTTCAACAGTACTCACCTCACCTTTGTTCTACCTTTGTGTTTGTCTCTTACATCTTTGAAACACTTTTCTGTCCCCCCCCCTCTCGACTTTTTTCAATTTGATGTTCCTTCCCCTCTGTGAAGCCTGAAGTCAACTCAAGGGCTAATGATAACCATCAAGACGCCTGCCATTTGATATAAATAAACTTTAAAGAAAACTCGAAACAGTAATGATAAAAAATAATATTTGATAGCATCATGTATTTTAAAATTTCGAATAACTATGAATTTTTGCTTGAATTAATTTGGACGTTCTGGCATATTTCTACATAAGCAATTT